CTTGTGTCGGTTACTGTTGATGTTGTACACAATTAAACTGTGGAAGTAATGTAGATTGCGATATTTAATTATCACTCTGGGGATAGACAATAGCATTGTTTTTTTTATTTTAAGAACAATTTTGATAATTTTTTTTATGGAGGTTTTTCTGGTTAACAGTGCAAAACTTGTAGTTATCAGTGGCAACCTGGTGATCAGGCTTTTTTAGCAGGTCTGATTTATTGCTTTTTTCTATGAACTAATTCTTTCCAGCCAAGCTTTAAGGAACAATAACAATTAATATTAGCATTTAGTAGGGAAAATTAAGTGTTTATTAAATATCTTACTTATTAGCAGCTGGTTCTTTCATGTCAGCTTATAAGTTATGTTTAAGTTTTATTTGAGTCATGAAAAACATTAATTTTTTACTTGTATTCAGTTTTGATTGTTATTATTCAGTAACAATGTTTGGATCAGTAGTGGAAAAAATATTGGCAGTGAGAATGTATATGTATATTTTTGTCTCTTCTAAACTTGGGATGTTCCAAAAATTAAAGGAAGTATCCTGTTGTGTGAAACTTGTTTATTGTCAGATATACAGACTATAAACAAGTTCTAAGATCCTAAAATTAGGTTTGAATATTTTTCTAGTTTCATTCACATTAAGTTTCACTTCAGCTCTTAACATCCTGTGAGTTTAAGGCTTTTTTTCAGCAAATATTTCATTCTAGTAGTGTACATATATCTTAGCATGTAAACTTCCTTTGGATATTGTGATGAATATTAAAAAAAAAGGCTGTACCATGATTCTCACATTGATCTCTATTCTCAGGGATGAACAAGTATTATTTAATACTGACTGACAGCAAAGAAATAAGTTTTGTGATATAATGTCATTAACAGAATGATAACAGGAGAAGAGTCATTGTTCTTTGTTCTGCAAGATAATAAATTGGACATAAAAAGTTTTATTCTGTATTAAGTTGCATTTGTTTAAACTTCCCTGTATTTTGAAGAGGATCAGTTTGTATAATGTGCTTTAAAATATTTTTAAGTAGATTTTCTCAGGCTAAAATAATATTCCCCATAGTCTACAAAATATAAAAAGTAATGAAATTACTAGGAAAAATACTTTTGAAACGTTTTTGTTCATAATTTCTCCATAATAGAGAGTAAATCCACTCTAAATGTTAGACTACTTAGATTGTCAGTGGCACATATAGAGTGCAAGTTTAATCTGTATTTTAGTCAAATTGATATTGTAATAACAGAATTTAAAATTAAAATATGTAAAAGAGCACCGTCTGAGAAGTTTTCAGAAACTAGAAATCTGTTATCAGTTAAGTAGTAACCTGTTTTTACAACATAATAGCCATTTACTTAAATGGGAACTGAGGCATTTGATTTTTTTTGTAATTTCACCAGTGTTTAATTTGCGAACAGCGTTAAGTTACAATTGCTGTTAAGAACTGCTTTAAAATATCTTGTGTAACTTTTAAGTTGCTGGAACTGAATACATGGATTGCGCAAATCATTACATAAGCTCATTGGGTATGGGTAACAAAGTGTTTCAATTAAGTCAGTATACACAGAGTAAGAAAACATTTTTTGTAATTAAATATATCATTTTGACTGTATTCAACAACAGAATTATTTCTATGTGCAAGAAGCATAGTGTGTATTTGTTCAAGTATTTAACTTACTGTCACTTTAGCTCGTAGCCCAGCACGGCTTAGAAGCAGAGAGGCACCTCCTACGGTGTTTGTTTTCCCACATTGACTTTAGTGGTGATGGTAAAAGTAGTGGAAAAGACTTTCATCAGGTAACTTTTTTAAAGTTCAGTCTATGAATGAAATTTTAATTAAAATAGTTTATGAGCAGCTGTGAATAATGATCAGAAATCTCTTAAAAGGTTAATTAATTTATTTCTAAAAATTGAAACAAATGTTATAAATTTAAAATTTTTAGTGATAAAAACATGAGTTGACTTGTCAACAGCCTTGATGTATTTCAGTTGAAATAAAAATTATTTTAGTGAGTAAATTATAGAGTTCTTTCTCAAGTTTGATATGGAAAAAAATATTTACACTGGTGTTTTTGAATAAGTACTTTTCATTATAAGCTGGTTTTGTAAAAAAAAATATGTGCATTTTAAAAAAGCTTGTTTCATCAGTTGTTTTAAACATTGGTAAAACATTACAGAATAGGTAAAAAAATGTCTTTCATTTAAACATTTCCAAACCATTATTTTCTCATACTGCTTTAAAATATATTAATCATGGTTAGTGTGGACATTCTTTATAAAATGTGGTTGGTTTATTATAAAAAAATTTTTTTAGATGTTTCTCTCTTTTGTATTAAATTATTATATAAGCAAATATTTGGCAGTCTATGTCATCTTTGTATTTTAAGTTAATTTGGCCTAGAAAAAATTCTATACAGGTATTTATAAATGGCTAATAATATAAGCTGTATGAGTCACCATATTATTAGTGACTGCCATTTTATCCTTAAGTACTATAGCCTTGAATTTATTGATTTGATTATTATATATATTTAATTAGGATTCATAGTATACTAGGAAAGATATGTAGAAATTTGGTAACTGAAGCTTTTTTTAACAGTAATTTTTGTAGCTTTTTTTTTCAGAATTCTTAAAAAAAAATTGGATGTAGTTAGCCCTAAGTTCAAATTGGGTGTCATGCGCCTATGAAATTTAGTCATACATTCTTCGATAGTTATTGCAGCAGATTATATAATTGTCACAAAGAATAAGATAAACTATTTTCAAAGAAACTATGGAGTAATTAATTGATGTAAAACTAGCTATAAAATCAAGTTGAAGTAAAAGATGCTTGTGTTACTGGCCAATAGTTAGTGAAAACGTTTTCAGTAAGTATTAAGTATAAGCAAATAATTGAATATGTTTACTTCAATTATAGTTTTTTGATAGTTGTTTCTCTATGTTTATATTCAACATCTGTTTGTTCTTTTAGATTCAGTACCTAACTCAGGAGTGTGCCTCATTGATAAGCAAGCCTAGTTTTGTATCGAATTTGTGTAGTGCAATAGACAAACCTTTGCATCATCAGAAGGTAAGTTAATTACAGAATATATTTATTTAACATGCATGCCCATCTAGTTAACCCTCTCGCTACTAGCTTCCTTTTCTGTGCATGTTATGAGGTATTACTGAGTTGCATTCAAAATCTCATTGAAGGATTTTGTTATCATGGTATACAAATAAACTTGGCATCAAAATGTGCCTAATAATCCAAACTATAACACTATATAAGTTTTAAGTTCTTGATTTTATAAGGCAGTGTTAAAAACAAATTCTCAATTTCCCCTTGTATGAGAATTGCGACATTTACTCTCTAGGCATCCCTTCTTCTCTAATTTACCTAACACCCCTCTGAAAATTACAAAATTTAATGTAAATTACTCATTATAATGTTGTCATTGCTGAGGCAAAACATAGTTTTTATAGCCTTCAATCTGATTTAGTTACAGAGCCATAAAATAGAAAATCAGATCCCCCCTCTTGCCATGTCCACCTGTCACACATCCTCTCTTACAGAAATTGTCAATAGTTCTCTCTGACATTTAATAATATATCATTTATAATTAATAGAAAGCCAAAGTTTTATTCTATCAAATGATGTAATGTATTAAGTTGTTTGCTGTACAGAGAATTGTCTGTTTTGCGTCCAGTTCAAAGTTTATTCCCATGGGAAACACATTGATGAGTTTAGCTGAATTTTTAATGGTTCTTGTCGCATAGTTAGAAAGCCCAAAAAATTGTGATAGTTATAGGAATTTGTCTACTTTTTGTGGGTTATAAGTCTGTGTTCTTTGGTGTGTTATTTAATTCAATAAAAAATTACTTAGTGCAGTAGTACCATTAGTATAAAAAAGTAGGGTTAAATTTCATCAACAGTGGCAGCAAGAAAAAGAAAACCCAGATAAGTAATATATTTCTTGTTATAAAAACAACTAAAATTTAACTTTAGTTAGAATAGGTAAAATAAATAATAATAAAACATTTTCATCGGGCATGCTTGCAAGTAGCCTATGAATTATGTAATTCAATAGGGTAGCGTAACCTACATGTTTGCCAAGTGATTTACAATTTATTTGGCACGAATATTAGTTAGACATGGTTCATAGGGCAATAAAACAACATAATTTAAGTATTAATAGATGTATCCTGTTATGAGTTTAAAGTTATTTAGAATAAACAAATGTAGTTTTGTGTATCAATTTTAAGTCATTCTAGAAGGGATAAAAGGGTAATTTCGATTTTTTTGGGGTTATGATGTCAATCAAATTAACCAACCTTGTGTAGAGTTAGGGTAGATAAAATAACAGACAATATATAAAGTTTTACTGAAAAAAACCATTGAAATTTGAGATTTTTCAGATGAAGAAAAGTATTTTTAAATTTGACATGAAAATCACTTTGCACTCGAGCAGTCAAAACTTTGACTCCTTATATCATTTAGAAATTTTTAGTGGAAATACTTCATTAAAAATTCTGATTTTTTTTTGTCTACAAATGACTTAATGCTTACTGGAAGCTTTCAAAAGTTCGTGAAGATACTTAAAATATATTAAAAGTTATAGTATGGAAACTTTAAAGATCAATTTTTAGGTCAAATTAACTGAGTCTGTAGCGAGAGAGTTAAGAAATAACATGTACACAACAGCAAGAGAGAAAGTATACAAAAAGTTTGTTTTTATGAACAACATTTATGATGCGTACTTATGATTGCACCTGTATTACATGTCTCTCGCATCAGATTGGCCATGACATAGCTATTCTGTGTTCTTTATCACAGTGTATGTATTATTCTGAATTTTTATTCTCTCTCCTGTTTTGAACTGAATATGTCAAATGATCAGAATTGGCCACCATTTGATCTCTGCCCTTTCTTTTGTAGAATTGGCCACTCACCAATTCGTTCAGATCCAGTGAGAAATTTTTATATTTTTTTTGGGGGGGGGGGGTCTTGTGCTGGAGACAAAATACAAGTACTAGTAGGTTCAATTCAAGATTGTCTTGTCTACTTTGGTGTTTACACTTAACCTAAATTGATATCTGAGGCTCCTTTTAACTTGCTGATTAATGGACTGCAGACCAATAACAGAAATGTCTTTAGAAGCAGGAGGTATCCTAACGCCTATAGAGGTAGGTTTTAAATCTTTTGCCATCTGCCTTAATAGTGCATGCTTTTGCCTTTTTTGTTTAATTACATAGAATATTTATTTTTCTTTCATCAGACATTCTGTGTATGTGTATAAAATCATTTAGATGGAGCCTAAAGTAGACAGAGAAAGACATGATCTGATGATAGTTGGGGGTGGGGGGCAAGTATATGACAAAATTGTCAAAATTATTTTCAGTACTTAAGGACATTCTGTTATCAATGAAAATATATTACAAACTTGCTGAATGTCATGGATTCCAACCTTACTTTCAGTCTCATAAAATATCTTATACATAGGAGAGCAAAATTGTGAGACTAGAGAATTTCAGACACAAAAGAAATCAGTCAACAGCTATGTAGTTTTGCCTAATTTATTTTCAGGAACCTGGACAAAATATTTATATCTGCCTTTTAAAATATTCAATTTGTAAATGTTTGGTCAGTAATCTGCCCTAGTGGAAACTGATTTTTATAATTATATCTTCAGTATTTCATGAAAGACCAGTTTACTTAACAGATATAATAATTTTGATTATAAACACTTGAATGTTGTAGCTGTCTGAATATTTCATGAAATGACCAATTTGTATGCTTTAGGTCATTGTAACATGTGTGAAAGTGGCAAAAGTTCACACAGTAAATGCATGTAAATGATGTAAATATTTAGTGCTCCAAAATGACCTAGAATGCACCAGAGGGCATGTTTGACCTCCTCCCCCCTCACTTCCAGAGGCCTATGCATCCTCAGGACTTCTGACCTTTCAAGTCAGGGATATGTTTTCCACTACCAGTGAAACACATTTACGTACTGTTTTTTACTCTGTTTGTTTCTTTGGTTAAATAGTATTGGCACTAGTATATTAATTGTATTAGCCATTGTATAAAAAATAACGAAAGTTACTTAGAGATTTGTAGTGGGTGCTTGTTTAAAAGTTCAAAAAAATAGACTCCTCCATGATTTTTAAAACTAGCTTATGATAAAGGTTGTTTTGAATTAATTAATTGTAAGATTAAAAGAATAGATTATGAGTTTTGTAAAATATATATAGTTTACTGCAGTTTCAATGTAAAATAAACTTGTTGATTGTTATTAAATTAATATTTGTGCACAGATAAAACACAATTTCTCACAGTTAATTGAAGGATTGTATTTGTCTGATCTTGATCAATTTTTCATCATATCTGAGAAACAACAAATTATGCTTATGTACTATTTAATGGTAACTGTGTTTCGTGTATTGCAAGTTGGTGTATATATACAGGAAATTTTACAAGTAAGACAAAAAATTATGCTATTGCTATATAATGGTATCTGTTGCATATATTATAAGTTAAAATTTTCTTAATTGAATTTGTAAAGTGCACACATACTTATAATAACCTTTCAGGATGGAACATAGCTTACACATTTTGACTGTAATGAACCTCCTTAACCATAAATAATGTAAATTATTCAGTATATTTGAATATTAACACTAAGACTGTAATTTTTACCACATATTATTTATTGCTCTTGAAAATAATTCATAATATTAAGAAAATTATATAGCATATTGTCAAGAAAACTGATTTTAAGTTTGACAGTGTATTAGTATATGATATTCTCTTGAAACTTATTATTGTAATGAGTTTTTTAGTTTTGAGTTGAATTACTTAATTTTTTATGTAAATGAAAACATAACTTGTAAATTACAAATTGTATTTCTCATTCAATTTCAGCAGCTGTTAAACAGCTAAGAAGGAAAGGTAATAATTTAACACAAGTTCAGGGTTTGGTACTGGAAGAAATTGGAGCTAATTTATGTAATTGTGTGAAATGTATACTGATGTCTTGTTGCTTTTCAAAAATATCTTGCAAAGTACACTGAGGTGTATGATCAAAGTTTTTGGAGTCATCAGACAATTACCAAATGATGACATTAAAGATCTTTCTGTTGTGTAACTGAGAAAATTGATTGGAAGGTTATTGTATATACATATATTGCAAACCGTGGTGTCTGTCCGAGCATTCGTCTGTCACCTGTTTGAAAAGCTGTACATGTAGGAAAAGCTCAACATTCACTTTTGAAATGATGGAGAAAGCCATGAATAATGTTGATGCCAAATTTTATTTTGCAAGCTGGATATTCTACATTAAATTGTTAGAAATAAATCACACTATCAATCACATTTAGAAACTTGATGTAACTTAAAGAATAAAAATGTACATTTGCTATATATCTTTGTTGAGTGGCTCTTAGCATGACTGAAATGCTCAACAGTTACTTTTCACAGTGGGTGGTATAAGTAGCCCAGAGCTTTGGCTTTGAGTGCAACACAAGTAATCTTTTTAAATCCATGAAATAATTTAAATTGATAGATTGATTTAAACTTTTTCTATTATTGGAGATGGGTACTTTTGCTTGCTTTTAAATATAAGGTTCTTAACATATATAACAAAATATAGTATGTTAAACAGATCCATTTAAATTTGTTAAATGACTAATCTCAGAGGAAAAAGTAAGCACAAATAATATTTAAGCAGTATTATTTGTTTTACTATAGGAAAACAAAACCCATGAGAAACTGAAGGACACTACTGATTTTATGAAAAATTAGTAGGGTTTTTATGAAACTTTACAGAAATATATTGTAAAGATGCTAAATAATACATCCATTTTTGAACTGTATTAATCCCTGAACTTAACTTTCAAAGTGATGAACTTTCCTTCTCATATGTACACAGGTCAACTTTATATGTTTGGTGGTTTAAGTCATTCAAGTAATCCTTACTAGGTGTTATTGTAACATAATAATGTTTTTAATACAAAAAGTATGGTTTTCAAGCCCAGGAGTGGGAGCAAATCAAATGACATACTATATATACAAGTATGTAATGACAAAGTAAATTATGAATCAGGTGTTTATAAGTGTTTTGAAAAGCATTAGACTGCATCTTTATGCATATGCAAAGCATCCCCAAGTATGTATGTATTCAAATTTTAGCTTCATTGAACTTGCATTTTTATGTTACAAAAACAAACTGGATTTAATATACTTTATATGCTAAGCCAGAATGGTTTTGTAATATTTAAAGAGGAGATTATATTTTTCAATTCCAGAGTTAGTTTCAGTAATTTTTATATAAAAGAAGCTAAAGCAAATTGACTCTTTTTTTCTTATATCATGCTTTGAAAAGTGTAACTGGAATTGAAGGTGTAAAAGTACATTATTTTTATTACTGTATACAGTATAAATAATATTATCATGCAAGATTTGTATTTGAATGATTATATTTTTGATGTGTAAATAGTTGTCCTAATGAATTATGAAACTGTTGAATAAATTTAATCACTTTGTTATTATTAAATTTTTTTTTTAGAGCTTGAGATCTTCTTCTCAGCTTCTGTCTAATTTGAGTAAAGTGCTTAAACTCACTCGAGTACAAGAAGTAGCATTTGGACTTGCACTTCTTCATTCTTCAAATAGTGACCTGTGTAATCACGCAACTCAGTTCTTGAAACAAAAGGTTCCTGAACTTTTGCGATCTTACACTGACTCAGGTAATTATTTTATTTGTATGTTTGCTGTTAGCTTTGAGCCATTTATTATAGAATGATCAAATCTTTAACAAAAATTCTAAATGACTAATATTTGAAGATTTATTTGTAAAAAATGCTGTTTTTGAAGTGTTTTTCCTTAAAGTAAATCATTTGTCAGACATCAGTAAATAATAGTTTCAATTTATTTCTAACTTTATTAATTTAACTTTCAACAAAAGTATTGTACTTTTGTGAATCTCCATAATAGTTTAATTTTTTGTGCTTAATAACTGAAAGGAAAGCGGAAAAAAAGCATATTTTGTATAAAACTAAATATAGATTTTATATGCAGTCTTAAAAATGTTGAAGTAGTGTTTTTAGCTCTTTTGTATTTTTCTTCTTTGAATAGACTCCACAGCTGATCAAGAAGGAAGCTTACAGGATTCTGCACCTGAATTTCTTCATCTGTTGTTAATTTACATTCTTCACTCTCCCAAAGATCAGGTTGGGTTAACTACTGAACAGAAAGAATCCTTCCTGCAATCCTTAAGAAGAGGTAAGATATACTTTTAGTTAATCTGAGTAAAGTTGGTGGCCTAAACTTGTTTTTAAAAAGTGCATGTAAAGATTGTGGTTGTTTTGTTTGTGTGTGTGTGTATATACACAGCGTGGTCACAAGTAAATAGACACCACCTTTTCAGAAAAAATGAAATTTTTAGTCATATACACACGAATTGATATATTAATAATTTAATAAATATCTAGTAGATGTTCCTTTCGCTTCGTGG